AAAGCAGGTTCTGTCAAGGCTGCCATCTTGGTTAATGTCATTAAATTGCTAACCTGCTTTATGAAAAGTCCCCTTTGCGGTGAAACAGCAGCTGGAGTAATCTTGGGCCTAGTTATCAGACCACCTCTGTCCTCCACCGACCCCTGAGTCTACTCCCTGTACTATCCTAGCACAGCTGCAAAGAGGCCCTCTTGTGGCCCCACCCCTGGACCAAGAGACCTGGATTCAAGTCCCACCTGCTCCAGCGGTGTGTAATAACATCTCTGAACAGGTTAAACAGGGAAAAAAAATAGGTTAAATTAAAAAAAAAATCTGAGGGGGTTAGCTGTTATCAATGGCCCCATTCACATGCAAGATTATTTGGGAGAAGTCTTTGGTATCTCAGCGGAGCCTGGCCTTGCCCAAGGTTCAAACCTGCAGAGCTGGCCCTATCGGAGCACTATTGAGGGAGTGCTGCACTGCCTCACTCTCAGCAGATGTGAAAGATCCACTGTACAGCGACGATTGGAGGAAGGACAGGGGAGTCATTCCTGGTGTCTTGGCCAATATTTATCATGCGGTCAACATCATAACAAAAATAGACACCTTTCCTGGGAGGTTGCTGCTGTATTTCCTCCATTTTAAAAGTGTGTCATTGGGTGTAAAGCACATTGAGATATTGTGAATTTGCATGAGTAAGGACCATGTACTGGGTGATGTGTTCTCTGATAATTATCCCCTCCTTTGAAAGACAGTACTCCTCCAGTTATGGAGCTTCATCAGAGAGGTAGCATTTCAGCAGAGAATAAAAAATGGGAGCAGAATGAACAGATTTCTATTTCTGTGGCCTCAATTTAACTGCATTCCAACTAACCAAGATTCCAACTCCAGTTAGAACAGAAAGAAACTGGGCCAAACCTGAATGTGAACAGTTAGTGCATTTGGAAATGATTGTTGTCTCTCCAAATGTTCATTTAATGGGTGAGAGCATGTGAGACTGTGTGTGTTAGGGAAATGAACTGGATTAATGTGAGATATACGCCGACTGTCTGTCTTTAGCAAGTATTTAAACAGAGCTGTTTCAAATTTGATACAGTCAGTTGTGTTTGAGTTTTTGTGGGTAACTGGAGAATGCGGAAATGGGACAAAGCAAACTCTCTGATGCTGCCTGGCCTGCTGTGTTCCTCCAGCTCCACACTGTGTTGTCTCTGACTCCAGTGTCTGCAGTCCTTACTATCTCTCGTGATTTCTCTGTGGGTACTTCTGGTTTGAACTTTGCACCTTCCTACACCAAGGCTTGAGAGAGACCAGCTTGCTTCTACATTCCTCCTTCTCTCTCTGAATCTGAGAGCTTAATATTCAGTGCAACTCCCACCTTTCCCCCACAAATCTCCTGAGTAACTGTTCCAGCCCCAGTGCAGCATTGTGAGTCACTCTGACCAAAACCTCCCGGTTGGGCCAGCTTTGCCACTCCTAAAATAACAGAGGGGACCGTGAGTGAGGAAGCTGCTCCCAATAGCTGTACAGTTCTGGGGCACAAGAGGATGGGGTGATGCATCCACAGTCAATTAGCTTGCTGACATTCTGTGATGAGGCTTCCCATATAGGGAATGATCCCAAACAAAGGGCTAGTTTATTAGAAAAGGTTGAAGAGGCTGGGACACTTTTGTCTGGATGTGTTAGGATTAGGAGTGAGGGGTGACCTGTTCAAAATCTTTAAGATCAATAAAGGATTTTAATACAGGAGACATGGAGAAAATGTTTTCACTTGTGGGTAAGACCAGCACTGAGGGCTCAGGGCATAATATAAGATAATCCATTTGGGAATTCAGGAGAAGCCTGTTCCCCAGCAAGTGATGGGAATGAGGGACATGCTCCCACAGGGAGTGGTCGAGGTGAGGCAATGTGTTTAAGGGGAAGCTGGATGAACGTTTGAAGAGAAAACAGAATTGAACAATGTGCTGATGGGATGAGGTGAAGAGGGGTTGGTGTAACAGAGTGGGGAAACTTCATGTGGCGCACCAACGCTGGCATGGACCAGCTGGTCCAAATGGCCAGTTTGTGTGGGGGAAGCCCCCATATGGGTAAGGTACAAGGCTTTTCAGCTCCAGAGGACAAGAGTCCCAGAGTGGGGCTTCAGGAGAACATGGGGGGAAACTGCAGGAGCAGAAACCCTCACAGGTTTAAAAAAAACAAGGGGCCAACTTCATCACAGCATTAGCATCTTTAGTTGCCATGGCCACACTCGAATTCTGTTCCATTTTAATTACAGCTGAACATTCTTTGGACAACTTCATGCCCGATTATTTATTCAGGAGTAAAGATCCCTTCCCTTGTTCACCTTCGGTGACTGATAATAGCTTTCTCACCGCTATCCCTTCTTGCCTCAGTACCACTGCTGATTGACAGACAAGGCGATACTATTGAGTTACTGGGTGTTAAACGTTGACAAAATGGGGAACTCCTGAAAGATGAAGGATAAAGAAAGGAAACGCAGACCACTCTTTACTGGAATCAATCTACCTGTCCACTTCGGGCCTACCATACAGAGAAGCCTCACTCTATACCAATGGATGCAGAAAGATTTGAAGTTGCCATAGAAACCTGTTTGGCTGCTGGAACCAGGCCTGCTATTTAAAAAAAAAGGATTCAGCCTTGGATTTAATAAAAATGTATAAAACGGCGCACGGTGGAAATTCACGAACTAGCTGAATTACAGCGATGTATACTCAATTAAAGAAGGAGCTGGAAGAGGCCAATTTCCATAAATTTTCATCAAGATGGGCTTTGTTCGGCAAATTAAAATGAAGTGAAATATTTTGACAGATGATGTTGATTGTGGAGAATCTCAGCAACAATTCTCTCCCCACCCCCATCCTGTTAGTTCCCAGGGTGCTGTGATTCTCTGTTTTTGCTCCACTACAGCCCTTCTTGTAAATCCATTATTTATCCGAGATATATTTCCATAGGCTGCTGTGAGTGCCATCGTCTGATTGTTGCAGTCAGTTGGAAAAGAGTAGCCTCCAACAAATAACAGTCCAAATTTGAAATTTGCAAACAGATAGCAGTAAAGCAAATAGTAGTGCACCTTGATTAATACCATCCCCACCTCCGACATGTACACCCCCCAATTAACCCCCTCTCTTCCTGTCTCTCACCATGCACTGACACATGCACGCACTGACACATATGCTGACACACACACGGACGGACACGCACACACACACGCACACACAGACACACACACCCGACATACACACACGCGCGCACACACTGTCGCACACACCCTGTCTCACAGACACACACAGATCACACACACACACATGCGTGCGCACACAGACACACATACAGTCTCACAGACACACTCTCAGACACACACACATGCGTGCACACACTGTCACACTCACACAGGCACCCACACAGTCTTACAGACACATTCTCAGACACGCGCACACACACACACACATGCACGCACACACTGTCACACTCACAGACACACACAGTCTTACAGACACACACTGTCTCTCACACTCACAGAGAGACACACTCTCAGACACACACACAGAGTCTGGCAGACACAGACACACACACGTGCGCACACACACTGTCACACACATACTGACACATAGACACACACATGCACATTGACAGCAGATGGCTCTTATCCTCAGGAAATGGTTGTGAATCTTTCCAATATTCAGTGTTGTGGATGCTCCATTGTTGAATAGAGGTAAAGCTGGCACCCACAGATATTTGGGTTTTTCAAAATCGATAGGTGAGTGGACAGAAAGGGGAGTCAAAGCCAAAGACCAGCAGTAAGACCATAAGACATGGAAGCAGAAGTGGTCCATTCAGCCCTTCAATGAGATCATAGCTGATCTTATAATGAGGGGGTAGACTTGATGGGCTGAATGGCCTACTTTTTCTCTGCATTCTCATATACTTCAGCACTGGCATTGACGCTCTCCTTTTGAAATGTTAGCCCAGAACGTTAAGGGGACTGTCTTACTCCAGGGCAGCTTCACACTTTCCCTAAACCATCCAAATCCTTCACTTTTAGAGTGTCAAGTGAATCTTGGAGTCATTAGTTGCCTTGTCTGTAATAGTGTCTCCAAAGGAATGCTGCCACATAAATTTCATGTTAGTTACTGTTACTAAGGGGAAAGAGTGCGTGGCTCGGCATGACAACCAGATTGAAACTCAGAGCTCGAGGGGGTTTCTTTTTTAACCATGAACTAACGGTTTGAATTGGAACAACATAAAGCACCTCATTTTCTTTCCAAGACATGTCTCAAACTTCATCTCAAAAAAACTGTTGCCATAGTAACCCCTCTACCCTATGCAAAAGCACTTCAATAGGCCTTGGTTTCTAGGGCCTAAAGCAGGCTCTGGCCTGGTTCCCTTCAATGCTCAGCTGCAGCAAACCTCAACCGTCTGCTTTAAGTGTCATCTGGGGACGTAAAGTGCAACATAAACTCGGGGGAAAAGCAGGCTGACTGCTTACCACAGGGTCTTCACAACAAGTTCTGTTGCAAGGTGAATGTTTCCGCTGACACGCAAGAATACAATTAGATTCTGTCAGAGAATCAGGAATACCAAAGAAGCAGCTTAGAGGGTGTGGAAAATGTGGGATTCACTTTGTTAAACAAACAATGCACACCACTCGACAAGAATCTCAGAAAGACAGAACAGTTAAAAATAGCGAACTCTCGACCTGTCGTATACTTCGTAATGAACTCCAATGCAACCATTTCCATGTATCATCGGGTTTTCTCTCTGGGATACGAAGGCAACAAAGGGTTCCAATTACCGTCATTCATGGTCTGGGTGGGTTGAGGGTTTGTTTCTGGTGTATATCCTGTCTGATTGTCTCAATGTAGATAGATATACAACAGGAATGTCAGAACCACAAGTATTTTGTCTCCTGTTTGACTGGACCCTGGTATTTTGAGGTCAGGAGGTGGACTGCCTGGTTTTCATTTTATTTTTGGCGTTAATGGGTTTTTGTGATTTTTTTTCAGGAGCTTGCAAATGTCAGAGTGAAATCTGACCCCTTCAATGAGCATAGGAATATAAACAGACACTGAACTTCACAATGAAGTGGTTACAAACAGTGAGGAGACGAAATAAATACGAGGGACAGTGAAAATCTCTTCCACCAACGACGCACTCAAATATATAGCAGGAGCAGGCTACTTGGCCCCTCAAGCCTGCTCTGCCATTCAATAAGATCATGGCTGATCCGATGATAAGCTCAAATCCACATTCCTGCTTACCCCAGTAACTTCTCACCTGCTACCTTACCAACTGTATCTTTTCCTTAAAAATACTCTAAGACTGTACTTCCACCAACTTTTCAGGAAAAACATTTGAAATGTCTTGGTCTTCGAGAAAAACTGTTTTACCTCATCTCTGTCTTAAATGGTGACCCTTTAATTTTAAACAGTGACCCTAGTCCTGCACCCGCCCCTATTGGGGAAACATCCTCTCCACATCTACCCTTCAGAATCCCACATTTCAGCTGAGGGGTCTTCATACAGTGTATCCTCCTGGAAGTGGTTTCTATCGCCTGAGCTCCAGAGTGCCCTTGCTGCAGAGCTCAATACACAGAGGATATGGTGGCATAGTGGTAGTGTCACTGGGGTAGTAATCCAGAGTCTGTGATGAAATCCCTGGGGTCATGAATTCAAATCCCAGTGAGGTGGAATTAAAATTCAATAAGGAATTCTGGAATTGGAAGCTACTTTCAGTAAAGGTGACCATAAACTCACCAGCAATTGGTGTAAAAACCTATCAATTCCAAAGGGGAGGTGATGGTAGCCTAGTGATATTATCGCTTGACTGTTAATCCAGAGATGCAGGTAATGTTCCAGAGACTTGGGTTTGAATCCCACCACAGCAGATGGTGGAATTTGAATTCAATAAAAATCTGGAATTAACAGTCTAATGATGACCATGAATCTATTGTTGATTGTCAGGAAAATCCCATCTAGTTCACTAATTTTCTTTAGGGAATGAAATCTGCCATCCTTACCTGGTCTGGCCTACGTGTGACTCCAGACCCCATCAATGGGGTTGACTCTTAACTGTTCTCTGGACAAAAAGGATGGGGCGGGGTACAATAAATAAAAGTTTACTAATGCCCTTCCTTCAGGAAAGGAAATCTGCCGTCCATACCCATTCTGGTCTACATGTGACTCCAGACCTACCTTCACTCTAAGCTGCTTGGCCATCTGCGGGTGTGCACACCCTGACGCATCAACTTCTGGTTTCACAGGAAGGTTCCCAGTCCTTCAGGAATGTCTCTTGTACATTGTCTTAGCCGCCCTCTGAAGATGGCAGAGTTCAGTGGCTATTAGTATTGGGTGTCAAATGCCAGCCTTGCCCAGTGATGCCCATATACCATGAAAGAATTTAGAAAATAAACAGGAAAAACTGCCGCTATGACTGACCAACTCTCAGAACTACATGTGGACCAATGCCAATCAGGCGCTATCTGAAGCCTCTGTTGCTTGTTGTTGGCTGTGGAACATAGTGGGTTTACAGCTTTCAACAAAGAAGGCTCAATATCTGCAGGTCATGCCCCACAACCTCAAGCAATTCTGCCAGCATTTTATTATTTTCCCAAAGTAGGGTTCCCAAAATCGAATACAGTGCTCCAATTGCAACCAAAACGATGTTTTATAAAAGTTCACTCTGCCTTCCCTGCTTTTAGTTAAAAAAGCTTTTTTATTCTGTACACTTTATCAAGCACTTTCTCAGTCTGCAGTGTCATTTGTACACATACACACCCAGGTCCCTCTGTTCCTGCACCATTTTTAAGAGTTGTACAGTTTGTATTAAATTGCCTCAGTAAGTTCCTCCCGTCAAAATATATCACTGGACATTTCCCTGCGGTCAATTTCATTTGCAACATGTCAGCCCCTTTTCTCAGCCTGCCTCTTAATGACATCCCTGGCCAGAGCTGGGGACTTTTTAAAAATTCTTACACAGGATGAGGACATCGCTGGCCAGGCCAGTATTTATTGCCCATCCCCGATTGCTGAGAGGGCAGTTAAAAGTCAACCACATTGCTGTGGGTCTGGAGTCACATGTAGGCCAGACCAGGTAAGGATGACAGTTTCCTTCCCTAAAGGACATTAGTGAACCAGATGGGTTTTTACATGTATTGATACCAGTTTCATAGTTACCATTAGACTGTTAATTTCAGATTTTTTTTATTGCATTCATATCCCACCATCTGCTATGACAGGCTGCAAACCCAGGTCCCTAGAGCATTGCCCACGTCTCTGGATTATTAATGTAGCAATAATACCATGTGGCCCATTATCCCGAGTCCTTCTATTTAAGAGCACTAGAAATAGGAACAGGAGAAGGCCGTTCGGCCCCTCGAGCCTGCCCCACCATTCAATAGAATCATGGCTGATCCACATTCCTCACATCTACTTTCCTTCCCTTTTCTCATAACCCCCGATTCACTTTGTGCCCCTGGGTGGGGCCATTGTAAAAAAGGAATAAAGCCCCCTGAGATAGTGGTAACATTTTTGTGAAACTGCCTTTGGATATTTCAATGTGTTAAAATTACAAGAAAACTGTAAGCTTTTTTGTTGGCGATCACAGCGGGTCAGCTTCGACTCTGAAGAAGAGTCATCCAGAATCAATGAGAGCTTGCTCTCTCGCCTTGGATACTTCCTGACCTATCACATTTTGATTTCAGTACAGATTCCAGCGTCTGCATAATTTGCTCCGAAGATGTAAGCTCCTGTTGTTTGGAGGGCAAATAAATTCTAAATCATTGTCTGACTTGAACCACGGGCCCTGAGTATAAGACGGACATAAATAAATCCAACAGCGAATTGACCCTGAAAGTGGAGCTGATTACCACGGGGAATACTGATTAGCACAATATAGAACAATGTGCAACAATAAAATACATGTTTGGGGGACAAAGGGACCGAAGGATGTGGTGGTAGGGTGAGGTGAGGAAAAGCAGGAGGGAGGATCATGTGGAGTTTAAACACTAGGACAGTCCCTAATGGGGCGAATGGCCTGTCTGAGCCCTGCAGATTCTCTCAGACAGACATCTGGGTGAGAAACTGACTGAATCTCCAGCGCTGTCTAATTAATATGCAAATCACCAGCCTCCACTGTAAAAGGTTTCCAATATTAAGAGATAATGAATCCTCCAGGTCTTACATATGTCGGCCCTGCCACCTGCACGTGTTTACCTAACTATTCATTAAAGTGTAAGACCAAAAATATATTACATTTACCGCGAGTGGCGTCAGCTGAATGTTGAAAAGCTGCCTCACTAACATCTCATTTTCTCCCACCAGATGCCGTTTCACAAAAAGAGCTGGGGCCAGATTTTCAGATTTTTTTTTATATACATGAGATTCGAAAAGTTTATTAAATTACACCAATTCCTTCACAGAAAGTTCAGCAAACACTATCCAGATTATTGCAGCATTTAACGAACCGAACAGGGCAATCTGTCCCGGGACGTTTTCAGCTTTTTCTCCTGGGACTGGTCTGGGATGAGATGTTTTTATTTCTCTCTCGGAACCAGCTCACTGACCCACTGTTGGGTGTACGACTCCATCTGCAGGTCATACATACGTGCATTTATATAGCGCCGTTCGCGACCGCAAGTGTCCCAAGGCACACTTTACCTTCCAATGTCGTCGTTTTTCTTCGTCGAGTTGCAGTCACTGTTGCAATAATGTAGGAAATGCAGTGGCTAGTTTGTGCACAGCAAGATCCCGCAACTAGTGATGTGATTCCACCAGATAATCTGTCTTTGTGATATTGGCGAGTGTCGGGAAATGCTGGCTCCAAGCTAAAGCTTTGGGGATACGGTTTCAATGATAGCTAATTAACTCTTTTATATTTCATGAATAAAACCTGCAGCTGAAGTGAGTCTCTATGATGGTGACAGTTAAATGATCTGGTTCATTAATGTCCTTTAGAGACAGAGGCCTGCCATCTTTATCCAGTCCGGTCTACACGTGACTCCAGACCCACTGTAACTCTGTTGGCTTCTGCCCTCTAAAGAAGACTGTTGCTCCATGCAGTTGTACAGGATGAGTGAGCTGCCAGATCAAGTGGTGGAGGCTGGTACAATTACAACATTTAAAGGGCATCTGGATGGCTACATGAATAGGAAGGGTTTAGAGGGATATGGGCTACATGTTGGTAAATGGGACTAGATAAGATTGGGGTGTCTGAGTCAGCACAGATGCGTTGGACTGAAGGTTCACTGGATCCAAAACGTTAACTATGATTTCTCTCCACAGATGCTGCCAGACCTGCTGAGCTTTCCCAACAACTTCTATTTTTGGACCGAAGGGTTTTGTTTCCATGCTTTGTGACTCTATTTGAGCCTAATCCATTCTAATCCTGTCTCTGTCAATGGAGCACCCTCTCTGTGTTACTGTGAAATCTAGATTTTGTGCTGAGTTATGTTCAATTGTACAAAATGAGGCCATTCAGTGTAATGGCCTATACTGTTATATATGGTTCACACAAACCATCTCCTTGTTTATTTACTTCACAGAGTCATTTATTGTACTAAAAGGGGCTATTCGGCCCATTGTAACTATGCAAACCTCTGTAGAGCCTTGCTTCCCCAACCCTTTCCCATTGTGACCTCTTTTGAGGTTTGAAATGTTGCTTCTTCTTAGGGAGTGGTGACAGAAGACAAGAGAGATTAGGGGGTGGGTTTTTAAGGTGGGTGTGGAAAACCATTGAGCTCACAATCCCAAAATTGCAGCTTGCAACTGCATTTGGAGTCTCAATGCCCACTTTGGAAGCCCTGCTGTAGAGTAATACAGACCAGCCCCGATTCCCTGCTCTGTCATGTGTGATAGGGCAACAATTGGAAAAACTCTGAGGGACAGAATATAGGCTGGGGGTTGTTTACCTAAGAACAGAGAAGGCTGATCTGTTAGACTGAGGTATAGCAAATTATGATGGACACAGACAGGGCAGATGGAAAGAAACATTTCTCATTTAGCAGAGCGGTCAGTGACCAGGGGACGTGGATTCAAGGTAAAAGGCTGAAGGAAGAACATTTTCACCCAGAGGGTGATGGGAATCTGGAACCAGCTCACTGAAAGGGTGGTCAAGGCAGGAACTATCATAACATTTCAGATGTATTTAGACAAACATGTGAAGCGCCAGGACATTGAGTCTCCAGGCCAAGTGTTGAAAAATGGATAGGTGCTTGATGACTGGCACAGGCACAATGGGCCAAAAGGCCTCTTTCCATGCTGTAATACCCTATGACTTGATCCTCGCTGCTGGCAACTTTATTCCCTTCAAGTGACAACGCAATTCCCTGACTGATTCCATTTCCAAAGCCCTCAACTTCCGGATCATTTCACTCCCAAGTAAAAAAGATTCTTCTCAAGGGCTGGCTCTGCTCCTCTAGCTTTAAATCTGTGACCCCCGCACCACCCCCCCCCCCCCCCCCCCCCCCCGCCCCCCGTCCTTGTAATGGCACCTGTTTCTCCTGGTCCACTTCATCCCAACCTCTTCAGCTGGATAAAATCTGCCTACAATCCCCAAGGAGAACAATCCCACCTTCCCCAATGTAACCTTGTCACTTAAACCCCTCCATTTGGAAGCTGGGAAAAGTCCTCCACTCTCCTCTCGAGGACAATCATTCCTTCTCCTAAAGAGTAGTGACCAGAAGCAGATGATGCTTTAGGAAGGATGTTGGGAAACTTGAAAGGGTTCAGAAAAGATTTACGAGGATGATGCAAGGGTTGGAGGGTTTGGGCTATAGGCAGAGGCTGAATAGGCTGGGGCTATTTTCCCTGGAGCGTCGGAGGCTGAGGGGTGACCTTATAGAAGTTTATAAAATCATGGATAGGGTGAATAGCAAAGGTCTTTTCCCCAGGTGGGGGGGTTCCAAAACTGGAGGGCATGGGTTTAAGGTGAGAGGGGAAAGACTTAAAACGGACCTAAGGGACAACGTTTTCACACAGAGGGTGGTGTGTGTATAGATTGAATTGCTAGAGGAAGTAGTGGAGGCTGGTACAATTACAACATTTAAAAGGCATCTGGATATCTACATGAATAGGAAGGGTTTAGAGGGATATGGATGAAACGCTGGCAAATGGGACTAGATTAATTTAAGATATATGGTCGGCCTGGATGTGTTGGACTGAAGGGTCTGTTTCTGTGCTGTACATCTCTATGACTATGATTCTAGATAAGCAAATTGTGGCCTGACCAGGTCTTTATAGAGAGTCAGTCAGCTGCAGTAAGGAGCATTGACCTGTTGGCCTGCTCCTGTGAGCTGTTGGCCTGCTCCTGTGAGCTGTTGGCCTG